TGTGACAATAGGCTGGTTCTTAATGCCTTTGCATTGTTGCAAAGATTGCAAACTATGTCAAGCTGGGCCAGTGTTCAGGGACAAACACATTCACCTATCTGTCCTTTCCATCATTTCACCAAAAAAAAAAAAATGAAGGATGAATTCTCTTAATCGAACAGCTCTGTATACATGTAGACTGGGAAACTTGTCAAAGGGAGCGTGATAAGATGGTTGAACAAGCAGTGAGCACGGAGCCCTGAAGCAAGACACTAACCACCCCTTATTAATTCAATCAAAGAGCCACGTTAACCAAAGATTAGATCATATTAGAAGAGGAGGCTCGGTTTGTATTTCTTTTAAACCAAATAAGCCTTGAGTTATGAGCCTGAAAACTGTGACACATTTAAGAGCTGAAAGCCAAATAGAGCAGCATAAGACAGAAAACAAACTCAACTAAAAATGCCTAAAAGTTCCTTATCCTGTAGGACTCAGTCAGAGGTAAAAAATTAACGACAGTGGAAAAATAATGTTCAGATTTTTACCAATATGTACAAGCTTTATTTTATTTTATTTTATTATTTTTTTTATCAATTAGCTAAATGATCTCCCAGAGTAAGCTAAAATTAAATGATATCATATGGGGCCATTGTACTGAATTGTCAAGGGCCACTGTGGAGGAATGATATCAATTTCAGAAAAGATGAGACCATGCTGTAAGTACAAGTAGTGCAATTAGCATGTTAATTGCAATCATCTGAGGGCTAAACAGAAAGCAAACCTCCTATTATTTTCATTATTATTACCATCTTTATTTTAACATTTTCACTTTATGAGAAACATACTAGATTGTCTGCATCTCAGCTGGTCTGAGCCATCACTCAGCCTCGATCAAAACATGAAAATTTCGGTTGTATAAAAATAGATTAGACCTGGTGAGAACTTGGAAGCCACAGAATGAGTCAAAGCTATGAACAGGTGCACAGTCAACAGGGGTGTCGGCCAATTCCTACGCCGACAATGATAAGCAGCACAGGTTCTTTTCACAGTGAGAGATGAACACAACAAATTCCGTTTGAGGAAAATAACACAGGTGAAAAGATAAAAAGCTCTGCCACTACCTGTTTTACTGCCTGGCAAAAAGTGCAGACAGAAATGTTTGGCTTCTTCAAAGCAATGACAAATGACACTACATCCTCAACTCAAACAGGCTATGAACAGTCAGTGAAAGATTAGGCATTTCCATCAATGCCAAAGGTGAAATTCATTGAGATTCCTTAAGCTGACATTCAGCACACATTTATTTTTAACATGCTTTCACAGACAGGAAATGAAGGCCTGATCCTCTCCAAATAATTTCGATATGCTGCCGGCTGTGCTGCAGAAGTGTGACATCTCCCTTCACCACACCTGCTGCTCAAACCCTAAACCTCCTTCTGTCTCTTGCAGGTGTTAGAATCCTATTTTTTTTGCTTTTCCTTTTGCAGACAAAATGACACCTTCCCCTCTCACTCACCCTCTCTAACATGGCAGCTAAGCACACACAGTGTATCGCTGCTGTGTCTTATCTGTGACAGATGTCAGGTAAAACTAACATTTATTCTTTATTATGATCAAATAACAATAAAAGTAGGCTATTAACAAGTCTTTTCTGTTTGGCCAAAGCCTGACAGGGAACTCTGAACCATTACAGCTGAATGGCATATTTTGGACATATTTTTTTCTTTCAGTTCATAATTGTTGTATTTCTTCCTCTGAATACTTTGGCTCATACAACACTATGCATCCACTAAATACAAACCTTTTTTGAGAATTAAAAAAACTATCAAACCATTGTCCATGTAAATATGGAAGAATGTCTCAAAGTATATGCAATGATCGATGACTGAGTCCAAAAATGCACTCATTTATTTCGTGTTGATTGTAATGAGTATGTCCGCCAATGTACAGGTATGGCTTTTTAATGTGTTTGTAGGCATAGACTGTGTTCAGAAAGTGTTCATACCCCTTCATTTTTTTGAAATTTTGCTATGTTGCAACCTTATGCTAGAATAAAAAATATTATATTTTCATAATGACAAAGTGAAAACAGATATTTTTGAAATTTTGCAAATTTATAAAAAGGAAAAACTCAAATATCACATTGACATAAATATTCAGACTCTTTGCTATGACACTTGAAATTTTGCTCAGGTTCCTCCCATTTCTCTTGATCATCTTTGAGATGTTTCTACACCTTGATTGGAGTCCACCTGTGGTAAATTCAGCTGATTGGACATGATTTGGAAAGACAAAAACCTGTCTCACAGCTGACAATCGGGAGGAGAGGGGCCTTGGTAAAAGAGGTGACCAAGAACTTGATGGTCACTCGGGCTGAACTTTAGGCTTCCTAGTCTGGTTTGCTCCAAACGTGATGCTTAGAACTGAGGCCAAACAGTTGTCATCAGACCAGTCTTGTTTCTCGCAGTCCTTTAGGTCCTTTTTGCAAACTTTCACTGAGAGGCTCAGACAATTCTGTCTCTGAGCTTTGCAGGTGGCTTCACACCATGGCTTGTTTTTTGCTCTGATAAGCATTGTCAGCTGTGAGACCTTATACAGACTGTTGAGTCTTTCGAAATCATGTCCAATTAATTGAATTTATCACAGGTGGACTCACAAACATAGAAACATGAGAGAAATGGGAGGAACCTAAGCTAAATTTCAGGTGCCATAGCAAAGGGTCTGTGATATTTCAGTTTTTAATTTTTAATAAATTTCCAAAAACTTGTAAAATTCTGTTTTCACTTACTCATTATAACAAAATGTGAAGAAAAAAAAAAACTGAAAAAAAGAAAACTAGAGACAGACCACTGTCAGTCTTAAATTGGTTAAATGGGTGGGGGGTCAGTATGCAGAGCAAGTTGCTTAACATTTAAAATATACCTTGAGGTCATTGTGTGCAAAGAAACCTGTAAAACACCTTGCTGCTATTGACTTTAACCATCAACACACCTCAGGGCCTTCACTTGAAGGCTTGGGGGGGTGGGGGGTGGTATTTGACAACATATGTCAACATTGACAACATTTTTTAAAATGTTTGAATACAAAACAAGTCTCACCACTCGCTCACTCAGGCTTCTAAAAGCCATTAAGATGGTCAGCCATCTGGAGGCCAGGTTTCTTGACAACTAATCAGCCAACTACAATTTGAGTTTTATGCACCTGCATCATTGCAGGTGATTGATAAAGATGTCAGAGCCGTTATTTGCAATATTTTGCTGTCTGCCACCTGTTTCTCTGTGTTTCATTGGATTAGAAATGTAAGGCTACTTAATATATGATAAAAATGGATGCAAAGGTTCCCATTTATGCTTTGGGTCTTTCTACTCTGATCATCATTCTCCTGAGCTATGCTTGCCCTTCCCTCTCCCTCCTCTCTCTGTCTATCTGGACTTTGCCTCCACTAAGGTCATCTGTAGCTCAAGAATCGGATCAATAATGAGTTCAGATTTACTGGCAAAGTGCTTACCTTGTATCCTCAGTGCCATTCAATCCAGCCTGGGACTTGCATCTGCCTACTGAAGAGTCAAGTTTCACATGTCCATGATGCTCAGGGGGCTTCTGAGAAACACACCATCAGGAAGAGAAATGCTATTTAATCATTAAAGATGTACATATAGAAACACATAGGCAAACAATACAAAGGGAGTATTTCCTTCTACATTGGTAGTCTTTGTGTAGATTGGATGTGGACTGTGACCTAATCATATGGCGAACAATAAAAACCTTTTGCTGTAGTAGTAAACATATGGGTGTTGTTGTAAGGAGTTGGCTAATAAACATGCTAACGGCTATAAACAGAGATTTGTCAAGCTTAAACAGCAACAACTAGTGAAACCAGCCTGTTATGTGTTGCAGGTAACATCACAAGCTAACAACGTTAACTGAGACACTTTCTCAGCCTTTATTAGCTGAAATGCGACTCCATATTAAGCGATTTAAAAGGATTCATAGAAAAGAAAAATTCGCTTGCTACAAACTGAATCACAAATTTGTTTTAAAGACTGTGCTGGACGAGGTCATCTCACCAAACTCACAGACTGTTCAAAAAGAGACAAATCAACGATAGCTTACCGTGTTACGGAGACTTCATTTTTGTCAGGACACACCGAACAAAACTGAACTTCCACAACGGCTTTCCCTCGACACTGGGACGTACAGTAACGTCTGTCTTTTCAGCTCCACGTACCAAGTTGTTTCGCTCCTTTTCTTGCTCAGCCTGTTGACAACTGACTAACTGGACTCAGTTCCTTAAAGAAAAAACGCTAGTCTATCAAGGCCAGAGTAATCGAGAGCGAGCAGCAGGAGGACGGGCCTGCTATGCGGGCAGGGGTTGACGATCGATTTTTCGATGGAGCTGCTGAACAGGCCTGGAGCAGATGAGGCAGATGTGAGAAGGTAAACAGTGTAAAATGCAAATAAATTATTACAATGTTAAACAGCGTTTTCTGGCTTATCAATGTAGGAAACAACAGCAACAGCAACAGCAAAGTTAGTTCATATTTCCAAAAGACAAAAGGTGCTAAAATTTAAGAGAGCTAATGAGCTTGCCCTGCAAAACAAACAAACAAACAAACAAACAAATAAACAAACTAGATGTTTACCCTGGTTTGACCTTATCACGTTTAAATAGGTTAATTATTGTGAGGCCTAGCTGGTCCTTGGAATATTTAGTCACACTATATGTTGAAGCTTGTTTATCCGGTTAAAGACATTCACAACAAAACACTGTTGAAACGGATGCTTTTCTGCCATAGGAAAACATTCAGTATATTTTACACATTAAGTCCAGTCCTCTGATTTAAATAGGGGTGGTAATGAGAATGCTGCCATCTAGTGTTAGTGAATGGCAACTCTTCTATATCAAATTGAGGCTCCGTTTGTAGGCATTACAGTGTATGATCTGGGAGAAAACATTAGACTTGAAATGTTCACGATGTTTCAGTGATAAGACAAATATTTTTATTATAAGTTTGCATATTTGATATAAATTTTCTTCACTTTTGTAGACCTTATATTCAAAATGATATGCTCACAGTTTGTAATTGAGTTTGTATCAGTGATGGCTGCTGTTCAGCTACCACTACAGTTTTCACACCACGTTATTACGTCCCTAAACGATGATGTGTGCTTATGAGTCAGTGCACCTGTCACATAACTCAGGTCTAGTGCTTGTTCAATACGTGAGTCATAGTGAATAGGTCTGTAAATGTCATACATACTTTCACATGTCAGTAAAACCGCAATACAGTGCGATCAAGGTGATCAGTTGCATACATTTTTCTGGCTTCAAGTTTAATATTTAAACAACTTATATAGGAGAGAGAGAAAGTTTGATTACACAGCAATGATTAACAGCAAAAACATCTATTCAGTTTGAATTTACATATTTGCCAAAGACATGATTTTCTCCTAAAATTTTCAGGACTATACATATACACTTCACACACATAATTCGTTTAATGTGATGTGTTATTTCATGCATGACTCCTGTCACACAACAGTTTAATTGAGAAGGCAAGGTCCACTGTATAAGCTAAAAGTGTGATACTGGCAACAACTGTTTCTGCAATAATCAGCTCTACACCTTTGTTGGGAATGCTGTGTCTGATGTCTCTCAGCTGCAGAATCTTGGTAAAACAAATCACTGTGGCCACCATGTAAAACAACACCCCAATCAGACTGAAGCCAGCCAAAAATCTGTCAAAAGGTAGGAGACATCGCCCAGCAAAGTCACCTAATATTACCACCAGTGTGACTAGAGACATGAAGATACAAACACCGTATGACATGCAGGAAACCCATCGCTGCCAACAGTGTACTCCGCTAGGCGGTCCACAGACCACATCCATAACCAGGGGTATCATCTGACAGCCTCCCCACAGTTGGAGTATCTTGAGGAGACCAGGCATGCTGCCCATGTACCCTCTTTGTTCATGGGCCTGGGTGCGAAGAACGTAGGACTCTGAAGTGTAGGCCAAGAAGGTGAGACAGGAGAGCACTGCAGCTGCCACAGTGTGTGTCGACAGCTTTTGGTGATCCATGATGATCCAAGGGAAAACTACAGAGGTGCTGAGACACATCAGAGCACCCAACACTGCCACTGTCATAGTCAGGTTCTTCCATGATATAGGGATGAGGCTGTGAAACTGGATGACGCTGAGGATGTGGATGAGGAGAGTGAGGGTGAAGAAGAAGCACCAGGTAAACATGCAGAAGATCCTGAATGTGTTTAGGTAAGACAGATTTTTGTTTAACTCCGAAGAGTCCAGCGAAGCCACGAGACTGAAGGTGGTACAACTGGATAAGACTTCCCATGTCCGCACCACAAAAAGAGGACTGGTGAAGTCTTTGGCCTCCAGTACAATCACAGGCATTGTCACAGAGTTGAATCTGAGTGATCCAGTATCCAAAAGGCAAGATATCCTTAGATGTGTCAAATTACACCTCAGTCTCAGTTCCTCTAGATTTATGTTTAAACAATCTTGTTGTCCCAAAAGCTTGTCAATCCACTTAATGTTGAGTTCTGAAGAACAGTCCAGTAGAGTCCATGGAAACAGCCACCTCAGACAAAACTTTGACAACACCCCTCCTCTATATTCTGTTCACTAGTGCTTCATCCTTTTTACATACAAAGGAAGTTCAAAATAGTAACTCATATATATATATTTTGGAGCACTGCTGCTGTCAAAATAGGCCTCGCCTACTTCCTTTTAGAATTTGCAGCAGTGCTTTCAGTCTCGCTGAAGGTAGGTGCAAATGACCACATTAAAAAGCATATGCAAACAAAGCTATCTTCCTCCCACTCTCGATTCTCATGAAATGTTGTTCCTTTTTCTGAGGTAATAAACTACAAAAGGTGCAGGTTCTTCCAACTTTGCAGGCGTTACTTTGCCGCCACATGCCTGCCTCCTCTTGACTGCTTTGACCTCACTGTTGAAGGGATAAAATATGGTCACAGGCTGTTCTCTGAATAGTTGTTTACATTGTGTTTGAAGCTGTGTGTGGTACATTTGTATCAGGATAACATCTGTTGATTTGTGGTGTGCTGTAGATCATTTGAGTGAAGTGTTACTCAGAGGATCTGTGTGTGTGGGTGTGGATCTGCTCTACACTAAAATCTGATATTGTGAAGATCTTTTTTTTTCCTCTTGCAACTGACAACGAATGGAAATATGTTTGAGTTTCTTGAATGGAAATGAGATTTTGGTTATCTGTGTGTGTGCCGGTGGCAAGCTTTGAATCTTTTATTGTCTTAATGCTTGCATGTGAATAATTTCGTCTTGCATATATATGGGAATGCACATGCACATACACTGTAAGAAGGTTTCCAATTAATAAAAAAATGCATGTGTGTATGTTTGTGTGCCTATGTGTTTTCACAGGGCAGATACAAGTATGTTCCCCATGTGTGTGTGTGTACGTATTTACACAAGCACAAAGAGTCCTCTGAGGATCCCAGCCAATCACTTTCCCTCTGTGTATCGGCACACCTGCTCTCTGTGTTATAAATAGACAGTGGATACATCAATTCCCTCGTGTCACACAGCTCAAGTACAAAAACTTGTGTTTTGACAGAAAGAGAAGACACACTCCACAAAGACAGCTGATAAACAGTGGTAGTCTGCCATTACAGACTCATGGCTGTGATGTGTGTATAAGGGTTTTGTATTCATCTGTATATTGCTTTATAAAAGTTAAAATGTAACCTTATCAGTTCACCATGGTAAGATTCAGTTGTGTTAACAGATTCTTTCAGTCATCGAACACTGAGAGAAAATTAGATTAATTTCATTCAGTCAATCATTTCATTTTTTCCTTGGGACAAGATTTTTATTTACTTACCAATGTAATTTACAAGAAATTAAAATCCCCAAAACTACATTATTGGGACAGTATTTCTATCTGATTTTTATGACCAAATTGCCAGACAGCAACCCTGTAACCCTCATTACTGATAATAATTTAGTAATTCTTGTACAGGATGTTTCTGACTGATAAGCTTACAGATTTTCTGGAATGAATGTATTTATAATTGTTATGAATAGCTCACATTTCTAGTCATTTCTCCTTGAAACTAGTGCCCCTCTGTGGTAAAACACATAAACTGCAGCTTTTCAGAGGTACCAAAATAGTGGAGTAGGCTGCCTGTAGCACTGGGAGAGCAGCGGCAGAGGTTGAACGTCTTCAAGTTATGAACAAACATACAGTAGAAGGAAACCCCATCTGTACTACAAGTGCCTCTTAGTTTCATTCACCCATGTACTGACAAAAATCTGGTTCTGTTTTGTGTAATAGTGTATGTTATACATATTATTTTCTCTGTGTTGACAGTTTGAGGCTTCTAAGCTTTAATTTTGGAAAAACTAAAAGATTTGTACCCACTGCAGTAATGCTGTTAAATACTGCAATCAAATTAGATTTTTTAAAATCGAATGTTGCTGTAAAGATCACTAAAACTAGGCCCTAAGATAACCCAATCACATTTTTTTTAAATGCATCTCTGATAGCAGTGTAGTAATTAGGATACTTAAACCCAGCTGTTTTAACTGTCCTGTTAATTAAATATCAACTCACTGAAACATAAAACAATGTTGGCATATGATGGCTACTCAAAGTCTAGTCAGTCTAGTTAGTCTACACATACACATTCACTTCTCCAGACACAAACATGTGGCTTTCCTCTGCTGCCGCATTGAAACAGAAAGAAAAAGTACTAAAACTGTTTTTGTGTCATTGCATTCCATAGCAGATGCTGTAAGTGGCATTCAAACTCAGTAGGAACAAAGATGTGCTACTCTCCCGAATAAATAGCTAAAACTGTTAAATGAGCTACAGTAGCGCAAAAACGCTTTGAGGTTTTCATTAACAAATTGACTTACTGTACTTTGAATACCTTATTATTCTCTGCATCATATTCTGTAACTTTTCATTTATATCTAAAAATCATATAATATAATAATATGATAATATACTAGCTGAATACTACTACTACGACTAAATAATAAGAATAATGACAATAATAGCATTGTTTATATAATACTTTCCAAAAACAAGTTACAAAATGCTTCACAAAAGACATAAAACCAACAGATGTGTACTGCAATAAAAAACAAATAAAAAAGAAGAAAATAAGGAGCAATTTAAAAGATAAAAACAAAATAAAAACCAGCAAATACAATTGCAATAATGGAGCCATGGTAGAAATAAAAAGGAAGCACATGTAGTGTGGCCTTTGGAATTAAAGTGACAGGACCAACTTTAACACATGAAACTTTAAATTAAATAGATTAATCAATAAAGATAGAAAAAAGTCTTCTCAAAATGATGCTTCCTCATTCCAAGCAAAGTCCTGTTTGACCACTGGAACAAAGTGTGAAACACATCAGATAAGCAAAACTGAATAAAGACCACATGTGTGACATTCTGGTTAATGTGGTGTAGCAGGGTGGCTCTGATCACGCCCTGTTTACTAAAATGCTATGGTTAATCCAACATGGTAAACTTTGCAAAATAAGATTTTATGGTCATTTCACATTCATCAGTAAGTATATACTTTTAGAGATTGTTTTGTTGTATTTTAAGGTGGGATGCTTCCGCAAACTTGCAGCGCTGATAGAGAGCACAGTCCCATCATGTGACACAGGAAGTCTTGCACCTCTTGAGGTGACTGTCACTGTCATCAGTTGTCATTACAATTCAGTGAGACATTTGTTGAAGCACAAAGTCAAAACATTCACCCCACTTATAAGTGTTCATGTTAAATTGTTTTACACACACTATAAAGTTATAATGAAGTGGCTGTAGCATTTAGTTGTTGAGGACTGATGGATGTAGGAGTGGGGAAGTCATATGATCCATTTTTCATTTTCATATAAATCTTCCCATAAACTGTAAGTGTAACACAGAAAAAAATGAATGGAAACCAATGACAATTATACATACAGTATATGTGAAAATATATATGTAGTATGCTTTAAAGTGCTGAACTTGAAAAGGCATCCTGCAACTTAATGACTTGGTTATTTATCTAAATATCTACAAAGCCTATTCCGTATATTTTACAACTTGCAGAATGGCCTTGGAGATAAAAGTGGATTAGTGCATAAGTCTTTACCTGGAAAGGGTAAAAATGATTAGACAGCTCATTTCTGGGTGTCTCATTATTGTGTGTTTCTCAGATGAACCTTGAATGCTGATGAGAGATATATTATTACAATAAATCTGCAAAATGAAGCTTCTTCATTCAAGGAAAGGAGTTTGACCACATGAGACACAGTCTTAAATACATCAGATGAACAAAAGGGAACAAAGACAAACGTGTGACATTTTTGTCAAACGAGGTGTGATGGGGTAGCTGTGATCGAGCAGCGTTCAAACAGTAAAACGATGTGTTCTGTTCTCATTCAGCTGAAATGTCACAGCTATGATCAATCCAACATGAAACAAGTTTACACAAAAAATTATCTTCTCGTGGTGATATCTTGAAAGATTTTGTAAACCTAGTTTGCTATCATTCAATATATAAATCTGGAAATAGTTTTGTAGTATTTTAGGGTGGGATGCATCTGCAAACTTGCAGCACAAAACAACGACCACGTGTGACACAGGAAGTTTGCTCATCTCTGGAGATGAGTGTCACTGTTCTTTACCCACAATCACTATTTCTACTGCATGTGCTTTAAGGCCTAGAATCCAATATAGTGCCTATCCAGTCACCAGGTATTTACAGTGCCTATAAATTATTGACCGTCTTGGAGTTCATGTTTTGTTGGTTTGCACTGAATCACAGTGGGTGAAGCTAGGAACAGCCAAAAAAAAAAAAAAAAACAAATCTCTGAAAATGCAACTACATTAAGTCAATCAAGATCGCTGGTGTTAACAGGGTGTGTTAGCCAAGTGTGAGTAATCTTGACAGGTAAATCAATGCATGGCTGAAGCATGCTGTTTACTCCCAAACTTAAAGGATAAGTAAGGCATCATTTTATCTTTTTATTACTGTCAACAAGAGCTATACCTCTGCACTCAGGTGACAAGTTCCATTATTTTAATTAGCATGAATATACCAGTTTAATTTGAAAGAACTCAGCGGCTGCTTATCAGCCTTTGGAAAGTAACTACATGTGTTTACTCCCTGCAAGGACAGACCATCAGTCACACATCTGCAGACACCTACCACCTACCAGTTAAGATAATAAAAGTTATCATAGGCTGAAGAAACAGTGACAATGAAAAACAGTAAAATTATAGCGCGTCACTGAAGGTGATCATCAACGAGACAGGGGAATAAAACAGACCTGTGGCGATATCACAGCCACGACCAGATGGGAGCAAACTTCACAAGAAACAGACAAGACAGCAGTAGAGTCCCGGTGCACCAGGGCGTAGAGCCAGGGAATGGCGCACCGCAGCGCACAGTGAATGGAGCACCGCGCGCACAGCCAGGCCCAAACGTGCCACGGAGCATCAACACAGCTCCCGCCAGAGAGGAGAGGGAGAGCAGCAGGCCGCGGTTAAACGCTGAGGAGAGTGAACCAAACAGGACGGGCCAACAGCACCTGATGTGGATCAAGCAAGAAGGAGGGGGAAGGGACAGACAGAAGACCATCCTGCTACACA